TCTAGCTGAAACTCCTGCTGCTTATATATCTTTCGATCAGTCTAATTGAGCTATTTTTAGCAGCTACTTCTAATGTTCTATTGATAATTAAGCTGTATACATCTGAATAATTCGAAGTGCTTCTGTTAGTGACTTTTTCACTGACTCTTTCACTAACCGTACTACAGTGCCGAAATGTTCGTTACACCGTTAGTGAAATTTTCACTAACCGCTTCACTAACATTTATTTGTACCTCCGACAGGGTCCGTACTACCCACACTGAAATCCGCAGCTGCGCTGGTGTTACCGCCGATTGATTTGGACTGCGGCACCGCTATAAGAACGCAGAAATAAGGAGAGAATACGTCATCGATTGTGGCGCATCACAGGGACCAAAAAATCTGGAATTACAAAGTACCGTATTTCTCCGACACCCATGATCTATACCCTGTGGCAATTTTGAAGGCCAAATTTTGATTTATACCCAGGTATTAGTTATGGTATCCCTCCGGCATATAACCCCCCTGTGATTTGTACCCTCCTTCTAACAGCCAATTAAAATTTATAAAATTTAAGATCAGATAACACAAAATTTGATCAGTAAATAACAACAAATTTTATTAAACTATGATTATTCCCAAACTTTACTGCCTCCGACTTCTTCATATTCTTCACCGTTAATACTATTGAAATTCATTACTTCAGAATTTTCATTATTTTCATTCTCATCTAACAATTCATAATCACACACCACATCATCTTCTGTCCCGTCCATTTTGACTGAAACACCATCAACTTCTTCCCATGAATCTCTTACCCATTGAGCAAGAGTACCGTAGGGTGGTTTGCAGTTGCAGAATCCACAAGGCCATATACTAAGTCAAGACATGAGACACTGAGAGACTTATGATGAGCAGATAAATAATCTGAATCGTAATTGAATTTTATTAGTAGTATCTAATAATGCGCGTTAATTATAATATACAATTTCGAGAACATGATTCCGCAACCAATAGAAGTTTAAAGAAACAAATCGAGATATGTACCCCCCCACACACACACGAGTACCTCGGGTACTAAAACAAACAAGGGGAATACCTGTCGGAGAAATACAGTACACATTATGCAAGAACAATGGTGCAAAAAAAGTTTCTTTCATTGATTGTACTAACCCAATTAGGGTTGATTATGGAATATCATCTTCTACATTTCTTTAACAATACTCCAGAGATTCTCTATTGGATTTAGGTCAGACTGTTAGAAGGCTGTCTATTACCTCAGGTATGTTATCCTGAAGAAAGTTTTTTGTGAGGCGGACTAGTATGTTTTGGGTTGTTGTCTTGTTGAAAACGCCTAACAAGTCTTCAATTTCTGGAAGTTGTCCCCAGAGTATGTCAACACATCCATTATTTCAGAAAAACGATTTTACCATTTATGCAGAATCCTCCCTTTGCTTGATCCTTTGGCATAGAATGTGCTGGCCACTGTCCTTTATGTCTGTGCTCTCTACAGGATTTCGGAAGAGCTGAAAAGCAGTTTAAACAACGTATTTTTCCAATCATCATTAAGATGATTTTAATTTGAGCCCACTCAACACACTGATGTTCGTGATCATCAGTCAATATTGGCATTGCTCTTGGCAGAGTTTTTTGATAGCCACTTCTCACCAAATGCCTTTCTACTGTTCCATAGGATATGTTCATTATGCTTGAGGATAATTTTGTTGCCAAAGTCCTTGTTGAAATGGAAGAATCCCTCCAAATATATTGGGCTAATGTTCTTTATGCATTAGCTTCAATCTTTCTTGGGCGACTGCTTCTTTCTATATGCTGAACAGTTCCAGATTGTTTAAGTTTTCATAGACTGTCCTACTGGAAATACCAGTTCGTTTTTAAATCTCTGCAGTATTCTGAATGCCTTGATCCCACAATTGTTGTATAGCTTGGCAATTTGTCTCTTGTCTGGAAGTCATCGTTCTAATTGTGGATGTTTCTCGAATAGGATTAGTGCAAAATACTTATAAATTAGCAGTTCAAAATGAATAAATATAAAATTCTTCATTTTACATTTTACATTGTTTAAGATATGATGTTAAAGCAAAAATTTCGGTTTTTTTTGTCCCACATTATGTCAGCGGAGCGATTCGCCGGAAAATGGTGGGTTGAATCTGCCGTAAGTGGAGCATCGAAATAATCGCAAGACTAAGTCAAATGTTACAATAAAGTAGAAACTACCATATACCATGCTTTTGTTTCTAAAATTATGATTTGTTGGAACCACTTTTTCCAATTACATAGGGAAAAATCTTTCTCTGATTTTATTGCTTAAAAATTTATGTTGTGGCCTGACGAGGTTTTTACTATCGCCATTAGTCAAGAAACCCACACATTTATCCCACATCTACCCCACTACTAAGTACCACACTCTTTTCAACATAATATCTCCCCCTCAACATGTAAAATTTCTTTTCCTTTCCTGAGCTGTCTAACTTATATTCTTTATTTCACTCCAGTATGTAATATTAGGGAGCTGATGTTAAAACTAGCTGTAGCACGTATGTGCAGCTTGGAAATAAAGTCTCACACTATTGATTTCTTGACTATAATTTAACCCACACTTTTAACGTCGCGCAGTATAATTCCTATATAAGGAACATTAATTCCGGTCATCAGTGTGTTAAACACTACCGTCAAACCTGCGATACTGCTTAAAACCGATATTACATATTAACATTAATATAGACCTCGCAAACCCGATAAACCGATATTTTTTTTTTGGCGATAGTCATAATCGATACAAATTACGTGACCCGATTATTGCAATTTCATTGGTCAACCAATGATCACGTATCAATTCTACGTACTGTATGAAGATTTCGCATTAGCCAATAAGAAGCAAAAACCTCGAAAAACCGATAGGAAATGGCGAGGACAGCCACATTGGGTTTCCGAGGTTAGGAATATACTGACGACGTTAAAAGTGTGGGATAACTTTGTGGGATAATATGACTATAATGCAATCACATAGCATATACAGCAGCATCCTAGTACTATCCCCGTATCCATAAACGTACAGGTTTGTAAAACCTTTTTTAAGGGGGCAAATTGAAAAAGTGGAAAACAGCAGCTGGGGCAAGTATTTTAAGATGACAATCAAGAAAACGATGCAATGGGCAAAAAAACGTAATCAAAGCCCTATTGAAATGGTCTAATAAAAATTAATATCCGGGAAAAAGTAAAGGGTGGAAGGGAAAACTTGCAAAAGAATGAACCGCTTCTCTCCAGGGTTAGCAGAATTCTCAGCATGCTATCTGCTTCAAATTTCTAAGAAGCTAGTGAGCTAATTTGATTAACACAAATTATCCTGAAGCGGTTAGGGCAAAACTGATCTCCCGATTACGGGGATTCCGCCTATTAGGAATAATGTCTACCGAACGTGCTAAGAATGGGTCGGAAACTTTGATATTGAAGCCTTTATTATATCAGTATAACGAATGTATATACCGTTTCAAATAAGAACTTTATTTCATACAAATGAAATCAATCGGCTAACTGTCTCTTCGATGAACATTCGGTCCCATTATAGCTCTGTATGCTACAAATTTAACCAAGAGCCAGACTCTAACAATTTTCATCCGTCCCTAAAACAAAGGGACAGATACTAGTTCGCTAATACTTATACAATGTACCTTATCAGTATGCACGCCGTGTGATTTTGTGTACCAAAGCAACAGCTGAGCCTATTGTCTCGGTCCAAATTATAAGTCATGTGATTATAATCGTTTCCATGGTTAGCCTGAAATTGTCTTACATATCGATATACATTCTTGTTACGGATGCATTCTTTTGTTGTGACAATGGGCTTAAAAATGATGTCTGGAATAAAACCAATTGAGGGATTTGATTCTATTTTAAAAATTTATCCGCTGAGATCGTTGGCTCATTAGATTTGAAATAAAATAGTCTCAACACGGCGAAATTTACAAAAACATCTTATTTGCTAACACTCTACCAGTTATCCTATGAGCTAAACATGAAGGTTCCTCTAATAAGTCCTTAACCCTCACTGATTTATGAGATTTATGGGCGTCGTGTCTTAACTGATTGGATATTGAGTTGTGATCTGTCTAAGATTTAAGATTTTATAAAATTTTAAATAAGAATGGCATTTTCTTTCGGATAAAACGGCTGTATGTCACTCGAGTACGACTGTTGGTTTTTGAGTTAGGGATAGATATCATCACTATGCATTTTACGGCGTTGTGGTGTAACGTCACCATGCAGGAGGCAAGTCGACACTCGCTTGGGTTGCGTGTTTTCTTATGCCTGACAAAGCGGCGTAAACCTAAATTCCAATCCGACATGTGACTGTTTATTAACCTTCAGTAAAAGCTTTCCATACTATTATACTATTGATCTATAAGGAGGTTTGTCTATTATTTTATTACTTAATTAAGCTCCGTGTTTGAATTCGTATCATGGATCAAAACGCCACTTCACAACAATACCATTGATTTAGCTATGCGAGAGAAACGGGTCTGCATGGCAGTCGTATCACAGCAGCGATACGACAAACAGTTAGCATAAATGCAGACAACATTCAAAGCTGAAGACCAACTCTTTTTCTTCTGATAGAGTTGAAATCTACACAACTTAGTCAACATGTCGGTCAGCGTTTGTGCGCATTCTGTTGTTGTTGCTGTTATAACAGTGCTCATTACCGTCTGGTTGTGGAAGAGGACACGTTGCCCTCTACGAACGATATTGGTACGCAAAAATTCTTTCACTTGTTAATTATAACCAACACAATTGTTGACAATACTATTTTACTACTCAATAAAGAACGATATCATTCAACCTATCTGCAATGTTGTTGCTGGTCTCCATGAATTATTCACACCTTTTGAGCGTAATATTCGTATTCAATTAGAGATCTTTGGAAATCATCTGATGGAGCTTATTCCTACGTTGGCGGAATGGCTATCGGCGAAACGAATCCGACGTAAGATGGCGATCAGCAATATTATTAATTGAATAAGAGGCATTCATATTGTGACAAGCATGTATGGTAAGCATGTATGGTAAGCATGTATGGTAAATAAATGTTATGCTGACATCCCATAATACTAATAACAGCTTTGTTTCTAAAGGTATGGATAAGACTAAAATTGCTCCATCTTTATCATTTTCATGTAAAGAGACCGGGAATCATCCATCCCTTTTACTTTACACAGTTCATACCAAAATCATGTAATATTGTTACAGGGAAATAAACAAGCCGGAAAGTCACGTAAAAGATGGTGGGGAGCCCACGATCACAATTTAACAGATAAGGGTAGCAGCACGCAGCACTTGATTTTCGGTAGCACCATTACTGACAATCGGGGCAATCAACACAGCGCAGTTGTTTGCTAAAAAACCGTTTTTATGTACAGACAAATCTGTTTATACCGATACGTTATTTCTATCGATTATAACGAGTTCAATATACTGCCGACTCTTTCCCTTAGAGAATATGCAATGGTGTAACACGGTTTGATACTAATAGATGATGGTTTGCCTTATTTTCTCGAAGACCGCTTCACGATTCAAGCGCAATTTATTGACTAATGGTTATGTTCGTATACGTTTAATTGCAATTAACTGGCCAACAAGTTTAAATTTATGATAGCTGTAAAGCCTGTCTCTTTATATTGTCAAAACTACATTTATTTGATTGTCCGATATTTGAACTGAAATATGGCTTGATTCAATGGGCTGATATCAAAACGTATGTTCTGCAAACATAACTCGTATAGGCTAATGGGTTCAATGTTCGGTAACAATACTAAGCACAATTTACCGATTGATGGAATGACTGACTTGGCATAAATCACAACCCGATCGGCATTTTTTTTTTTCGCTAAACATATACAGTATAGCATGATTTTTGTGCAACAAACATCTGTCATTACGGTGCATAATCTAAGAAAAAAAAAAGGGGTAGTTACTGAGGCTTAGTATTAGTGAACCGGGATGGTGCAGACACTTTTTGAGGGATTCGGCACATATGTCAAAATTATGGTATACACATTGATATATAAAGAAGTTCTGTCATATCTTTATAGTACACGTAATTCAAGATTTCTTATTGCCGAACAATCTCAATTTCTGTTTCATGAGTCTCATTCCGAGCAGTAGATCGAGCACTTGACAACTCCATTCAGGATACAATCGCAATTTAGCGAAGACTTTATTCATACTTGACTTATACATAATAAAGATTGTACCATAAGTATATAACGACAGTAGCATAACGATTATTGTACAAACTTCGTGTTATCGAGGGAACTTCGTTATATTCAAACAATTTCACTATTAAAATTTTCCGTGTAGCAAAAAGGCTTCGTTATAAGCCAAACTCATTCGTTATAATCCTATCACCATTTTCCCAGAACTTGCATTATATTAAAATTTCTATCATGTGCGAGGAAAGGATAAAACTTGCAGCACTAATTTTTAGAAAGTTAAATTAACGGTGGTTGTCTGATTTACATTTAATCACGTACCTCGGTTGCTGATTGTATTATCCTAACGTTCGTCAAGTAACAAATCATGGTACTGTTAGGGCAATTAAAGATAGAATTCGATATAAAAACCTTGACGTTGCTGTTTATCGTTATTGCAGTGAGCGATATAGTAATTTGCTTGCATTATAACTCGATCGCGTACTTTTGTTCAGTACGTCAGAAACTGGTAGATGATACACAATCGACTTGTTTTTTTTCTTATTTGACGTTGAAAAATAAATAGTTCAATAAATCCTGGATACTTTCTAATCGTATGATCTAGTGACATATTTTAAGAACGTTCTGTTTTTTAATCGTATGCTTGCAGTGCTCTGGTTGTTTATTCTAATACATGCTTAGCAATCATACGATATAATATTACAATAATAAGCCTTTGTACCGTAAGAGCTGTGACCAAGTCAGTCTCGTCGGCCAACCTCTAATGACCAAACTTATCGAGAATCGCGTGAATAAACCTTTAATTAAGCCTTTTATTAATGTGTTAATGTCATTAGACGCATTAGACGACCAACTATCCGGATCGCTTTCGAGTTCAGGAGATTGTTTAACAGCCCATTTTACAGTACAACTGATATCTAAATCTCATTCATACCAAGGTCAGAATTCTTGAGAAGGGTGATCAAAGTCTCTTTGGTAAGCGTGCAATATCATTCGATTTAAAAATTATGTCCGGGTGTGAAGCCATAATTCGATTGCAGCAGGACAGTAGGTTTTTTGAGAACCCCGCAGATAGAGCATACTTGTGAATTGTAAGGATATTTTGCTGGATCCATTCCGTCTGTGTATTGATCACATATTTTTCAATTACAACGAGAAGATCATACAACTCAAACATGTTAGCTCTATTCAAAAGGCTAATCCAGCTGATATCCTTGCATGAATCATAGGATATTCGCCCAGTGTAGATAAATCTGTATAACGATTATGTTGGCAGTAAATAATGACGGTGTGTTTGAAACATACACATCTCTCTGAAAAACGCGCTTTTTACACATATGAGGTTATCTAAACAAGACGAAAGGCAAATCAACAATGTTATTCGTTTCGTCAAAGTTTGAAGAAGACATGTCGGCAGGTGTGGTGGTTATTTCGGTAAGCTGTTCTTGATCTATTGATAGTAGCATTCTTAATAAGTTTGGCTCGACAGCGCTGATGGGATAATAACAATAAATATGAAATATGACAATAGTTACGGGCAGCCAAAACGCTTTTGTGATCTTCTATTAGTAGTTCGCGTGTGTGTCATGTTAAGGGCATCGAATTCTAATTAGCGGTTCAGATTATCATAAAGCGATAGGAAATTGGCTCGTACTGCATTTATTCAGTAAATAGTTTAATTAATTTATCCTATTGGTTTTCCTGAATGAATTAACTGTTATATTTACACAAAGGGTGCGTTTCTTTTCCTCGCTACTATTATGCTATTCAGCACAAGCATGAGCTAATTGGTAAGCCCATAATTTCTTTAGCTTCCTCTCATGAAAGTCGATAGCCATCAAATTCTACGAAAGATCAAATGTTGCTGTTGAGTGAAATGAAGCATAGCACTAAGATATCATAACCAAGCTATGATGCATACCATCTGGTAGAGTAAAACATCCCATAGAATAAGCAGACGAGTTGGATCTCTGAACCTCTCTCTCTGTCTTGTGCTCAGGGTCTGATTCACTTTTCTTTCTTCAAAACCTTCACCATTCTAACCTCTTCCTGAGCAAGCTGTTATTAAGTTATATTATAATTCAGTAAATCAATGATTTCTATCTACTTACATATCAACCCTTATAATATTAAGGGGTTCTTTCAAAACAACTAATCAACTCTTTTCTTCTCATCCATGACTATGTCTAAATCCTTGACTGTCTGTGTCGAAATAGTGTTGATTTTGTATGATCGAGATTCGTTCTGCCACTCAGTATGCTGGTAAGCTGGTTGAGCGTTGATTGCTAGAATTGTGTGGGATCCAAAATCATATCAATCGTAAAGAACAAATATCCCGCAACTTTTCTCAAGCGACAATGTAAGCAGTCTTACCAGATTCTCGATTTTAGCCATTTATTCACGGTACTCACAATTATGTCGAATTCGTTAATTTTATCATCGGTTCGAATGTCGTTGCTTGTTTGTTCAAGCGTTGGTGTTTCGACGTCAGATTCTGCTAATTGATACGTATCCAAAACCTGCACGTCCCGTGTGCGTGTCGACAGACATCACTTGTTCCCTTCGTCGACAAGCACATTTCCTCCGTGCACAGCACGGTGGGTGAGCTGCAACGTTGAGAGTTTGGTAGCAAGGTGGATATGCTGTAACCTTGGTGTTATCAACGTAAGCACTGACTGGTATGCTGATCTTCAATTGGCCGGTGTTCCGTCATCGTCACACGTACTTTCAGATATTCTTGAATCAAAAGAAGACGTTAAGTAGTAAAGCACATGCCACAAATCTTATTAATAAATTTATAAAACACCAATACATAGATTTTGCAACCTACAGATTAATAGTCATGTTGTTATAGTTTTTTATCAGAAATCTCATAATGCAATTCTTTTACAACTACGCAAAATATTTTTGACACGCCATACGTTATCTCTTAACTGTGTGCACATATTATCGTAACGCAAAAAACGTTTGTTGTACATATTACATAAATTAATAATATGCTAATATTGTTATTCTTATTGCACTTTCTAATAGCCCTATTTGGCTTTATCTAACCTGTTTTACCGCCTGTCAGTTTGAGATTCATGATCGATCGTTTAACCAAATATTATTGCATGCCAAGTAGCCCCATTAAATTTTGCAATAAACCCTTTAGATTAATTTTAGTGAAAGAGTCATTTGTGCGTGTGCGGCGTAATTGAATAAGCAATTGCAAATTGTCTCCAATTCTAGGAGTAATTATATGATTAACCACTTAACCTACGAGAAATGAATTACATCGATTGCAAAAATAAAAAATTCCATGTTTGCTATATCTGGGGGGAAACAACTAGACACGAAGAGATTCACAAGTGTTAATTACTGCCGAGGAAATATTTAAACGCTACGCAGTTCGGTATAATTCGATCGTTTAACAAGTCGAGCAATGTGAATGTGATAGAGTTACGTCTAATTGGACAGAGAACAATACAATTGATATTGATATTATATGGTATTATATCTTTCCTAATAACATCCGCAAAGTCTCAATTGTTGAAATCTGGAGCGTACCATACCAATCAGGCATTAAAAATGTCCTTACAAAACTATTACACCTTTCGATCAGTATAATGGCATTATTAAAACTTTACAGCCATAGCCTTATATTACCGCTGAAACCGTTCACTAAGTTCCATGTCAGTTGGAAGTATTAAAACCATTTTGCACGATAAAAGTGAAATAAATGTGAGTTAAGGTTTTCATATAATTTTGGCAAATAACTATACTGGCTTGTTATTTTTGCTAGTGCTTAGCTTCAAATAGCAAGACAGTTCTTTCTAAAGAGAGACAATTCAGTAATTAATATTGGCAAGGCTGTTCACCGCGTATCTCTAGCATCGGTGGATTATGATGATAAAGCTCCACATAAATTAGAGGCTATCCACTAGCATCAGCAAGAAAATGAATGCATTGCTTCCCCAATGCCTCCCGTATATTTATTGTGATATATTGGATTAAAATGAAATTTTCTCTATTTAATATGGATAGGATTTAGGGTAACGTTTGTTAATAGAAGAGTATGTGTGGGATTCAGAGACTTAAAAGAGAACCCAAGATTTTATTTAATCTGCCACATTTATTATGTGTGCCAAAATGCATTACATAATGCATATAATTTGATGACTAAGCCAAGCGGAATTGCACATGGTTAACTCTTAGTCACAAACAAACCCGAGTTGACTCCAGGGTCTTGGTCGCACTAATTTATTGCGCAATTAATTTGTGTATGTCACAAAGTTACATACATACAATGCTATATTTATTTGCATTCGATTATTTTCAATTGGGGCACCATTGTGTATTTCCTAAATTCGAAAATAATTTTATTATCCATCTGTATTCATCAAACCACTGATAAGCTTGGCGAAAATGCCTAAATGTCTTGTAACATTTCACTATCGTGTCCGTAGATTTAATTTTCACGTTATTATTATACCTTAGTATTGTTAGATTTACATTCAATCTTTTGCTCTAATACTGTCAAACTACTGGTCGTATCTGAACATGAATGTTGAACAGCCGTACACTATAAAATAATATTCTAAATTTATGATTGTTTTTTTTTTGTAGTATTGGTTCATTAGTTCATGCTGATGTTCGTTCTGAAGTCTCAGCCTCGTAGTCATGATAAGATTTGCTTATAACGTTTGATCGCGTTTTTGCCAAATCTAAACTCAAATAATTTGGTTGGTACTTAACATGCACGAGGGTGGACAGCACAGCCGCGTTTGAATTCAAGCTCCTTGTAATTTATTTCGTTCAAACATTAGTGACGCAAAAGCAATTCAAATGGAATGTGAGAATTTAACCGCAGTCACGTTAGTCTTAGAAATCATCATAGAAAAAAAGAATAATTGTACACACACAATATGCAATTGTTGTAACTGTAGCAGTCCACATCGACTATAGACATAGCGTATAAAATAGATAGCATTTTCTACCTCGCGCTTGTCGATGCTGGTTGGTTTGTGACACTGCAATTAATGTTCTTTAATATAGGATCGTTATTTTATTTGTTAAGCAAATATTCCTTCAACTAAAGAATCCAAGTAAGAAAATGCTTTTTTTTATCTTTATCGATATTTCCTGTAGTGATGGACCAATGATTGCGAACGGTACGTTGAGCTTAAAGGGCGCAGAATTACGTAAACTACATTGTGAAGAGTAAAGTAACTGGTTTTATTTTATATCGTAATATATGTAGTATTGTTTAATTGGTAATCAACTTCTAATTCTAAATTTTATATAAATACAGATATCTCAACATTGCCGGTCTCATAGCAACTACCTCCATTTCGCGGTTCTTATGCCTAATATGCCTTACAAAATAAAAAAGGGTTTGTCGCGTGGTCGAAAACCTCGAAAAATATCCAAAGTGCTAGATTTCACTGGCCAGCACGCTGTTATGCTGGTGGAGAAGCCACAGACACCAAGAGGAGCAGGAAAATCAATCCGATGCGTTAACGGTAAAGAAGATCAACAGCTTATAACTACACTGGAAAAGTCTGTCAATATGGTGGACGGGTTGACACAGGAATTAGTTGGTAATAATGGGCTTAGAAACAAGGCACAGACTATTATTGGAAACGAGGTGCTTGCTCTCATGGTAAGAATTATGACACGAAACTAACTACTGTTATTAGAAAAACACTAAAAAGTCTACCGTACTATATAAATTGTTGTAGAGTACCGAGCAGCTTAATGAATATGCTAAATTCATTGAATTCAAGCTGCTAACAGTTAACTACAATCGATAAATATTTAAGTTCATATACAAATAAATAAGGGTTTTTTATGCAACAGTTTAATAAAACGTCGGGTTTTTCGGTGTTTACATCTAATTATTTACAGTGCTTGAGCATTTTGGTGAGATGTTTGTTGGATAATTCGATAAACAGTACGGCAGTTTGGAGGCAGTTTTGGGTAATTCTATTTTTTCGGTTTGATGCTCCACTGGTAGTGTCACCAATTAAGTTAATCATTCATGCAGGTGAATTATTCAGGGCTTGTTACACTTTAAGATCAACTTAGTACAAATGGTTTGTTCCTAATCGTATGACATCTTTAAATTTATATAAAGGTACATGATAATTTCAATCAGCCTATTAATAGTGCAATTTTTAATATAACCATGTGGATATCAAATATAGCTTGTGATCGAATACCGATTATTTGTATGCTACCGAAATTTTATATGTGAGATTTTCGTATGTGACCTCCTCTATTACTATGTTTGTAACACATGGATTATCGCCCCATTCATGCAGATTTAGACCATTACATATTCGATTATGCTTCTATTACATATGGTATTCTAATACTACATATTTTGTAATACGTCATGTGCACTAACTTAACTCCTCTCATGATCCATTTTACTTGCAAAGCGAGGAATAAACTTTTAGATAATTAAAATATAACATCTCCATTAAAATTTTCCGACAATGATATGCATATAATCACTTTACACCTAATTAGCGCAAATCTCTGCGAAACATGTTTCTAGCATTGCTAGTTTATATGTTAGAGTCAGAAAGTTTGGAATCTTTTGGTTTGCGCTCTGCACAATTATGTCTCACTGTCAGCTAACTGAATGAGTATATAACTGTAATACATTACGTCTAAATGATTTGTTTATAAATCTTGTTATATCATTATTGTTAACATGGCGTCGTTTCATAACAATTATAAGCGCTCTATGTATTTGCGATCAAATTCATAGTCAAACTTATCTTGTGTCATACGGTATTATGACGTATGGTATGACTTGTACAGTAAGTTCTAATATTTAATTGAACACTTAACTATTCGAACTGGGATCTCAATGTTTGCATTTATTGCTAGAAAGACCCTTTATTCTTTGAAGAGACGCTATGGAAAAGGTGGGGCTGCATTCTCAATTTCATAGAGGGATAGCGATGGGATGTCTTTATTGTTTCGCTTTATATGGTTGCATACAGTACTTGAATTTATGATTGTATCTAAATCGCATGTGCACCCAAAGAGTAAACTTTTATAAAGTTCCGTTTTTCATTTGGGTGTAATTCTACATCCAGAACGTTCCATCCATTATTGCACACGTATTATGATCAACGAGCTTCGCTATCTCTTGCTGTTCGTTCTAATTATACAGTGCAAGTGTACGAAGAGCCTGGCAATCTTGCATTCTTTTGTTCCGCCTACTTCATGAATAATGGCTTTACGTACCCAGACGGCACAAGATTGATGCAATTGTTTGGCCATGACAACGTTAACGATTTGTATATACGTCTGCTACATCCAAACGACACGTTGACAAAACTTGCTTTTTATGATACTGGTTTGTCCCAACAGTATGCAATGATTGGATATGCGCTTATAATTCAGGTAAAAAACAATGACAAATGTGTTTATGGGAAGTTGGTTGATTGGAGTGGGCGGTAAGAAATGAAGAGGGTTATAATTGTAGGACGTGTTAAAAACTCTGTTTGAATTAATACTGTATATTTTGATATTCATGAATAGTGACGGGATGCTTACTGACATTCCCGTCACCTTTAATTCGACAAATGTTACAACAATTGCAAAAGCTAATGTCAACCCAAATAAGAGTTTTCTTGTAGCAGCTAAGGATAAGGATGTAGTTTTATGGAAAATCTTCAGCGCGCCCATTAAAATTTGGTAATTTGTCCCATTCGATGAAGCATTAATTTAACCCCCCTGCTTTATTTTTCTATTTCGACATAGCAACAGCACGCGTCGAATAACCCAATTTTACGAAGGCAGTCTTGCAGGAAATGATGACAAGAGTCTGATCCAACACGAAATCTTTCCCACCACAGAAGCATAGCCCTTTTACAAATTCACTGAAGATCCACTCAATACTAAAGTATTCCACTCTTCTCCGCAATTGGCATCACAGTTCAACATACCTCATCTAACTTTGTAAGAAAAGTGTATCAAAGTTCACTTGTGTCAAATGGCGGAGTCTCTCCATACATAATTGCCGAACTTCAAATTTTGAACGCGGTACTGATACAATTAGATGTCTTGCCTAGTGATTGTCGGACCACATTAGTCGATTATCCGCCCGATCTTTAAATTAGCGCTTGGCTAAAAAGAAAAATATTCACGCACATCGAAAGTATTACTACTCTTGAGTTAAGACTTTATTCAAAATTACATTAGTATGCTAAAAGCTAATTCAACAACTTTATCGGAAGTCAGAATATAACCTTATTGGAGATAGGAATCAGAAAAATCTACGTATTTTGAAAGTGTAAGTCGATCGATTGATATTATGAACTACGGACATTGAGAATAACATTTACTTTTATCAAAGTCTTTTAACTCATCTAAAATACTGTCACAATAAATTTAGTGCGCGCTGAACCGAAACTTTAGCAGACTTTTGACGTTGATTTTAGACCTTTTTTACTTGAATACACATAGACATGTGTGATGTCCAGTTGATTAGATCAAACTTAACACGTCAACTAAACACGTGTCACAAAACATTCCATCTCTAATTTCTTGTTCCCAGTATTAATTTACAGAGTCAAGAACAAGCTTCTTACTCCCGAAGCTAGTACTGCCAATAACAACATTGAATGCTGTTTACAGTGTTGTCGAGCTTATAGAACATAACATATACGACGAACCTTATAAATTAATATAAAACATATTGACATACAACTCTTGTGTGAGTTTGATACAAGCATAAAGTAAATAAGCATAAATAAACCATTTCAGCAACAATAGTCTCCTTCTCAGTTCGCCAAGCATACCCGTATTGGATACAATGCAACATAGCAAAAATTACGCCCCGAAGAGGTGAAGGAAAGTAGTATCTAAATAAACCAAATACGCTTTAATGTCGTTTCGTAATAACATAAAGTAACAATACAACTTACCATATACTATCAGCGCACTTATTGCTTTTCTTTTATACACATTGTGCCTTTCAAGTAACAAACGCCCATTAATATAGTCAATAAAATACTCAAATCAGCTTCCGGTGATTGACAATCAAGCCAACTTGTTCAATAATTATAGCGAAAGTATTTGTTACATAGTCATATTGTAGTCCTATGAGTTATAATGTCAGTATTAGTTATAGGACACCATTTAATATTAGAGTTGTAAGCCCAACTTACCACAAATTAATGTAGGGTTTCTCAGAAATGGTTTCGTTTTAAAACAAACACGGCATAAGAGCGTCAAGCCCTTTTATTTCACATTTACTTACTGTGCCTCTACTCTTGATCAACTCAAAAGTTGTCAGCGGTTCATGACTAGATAAAACATTACAAAAACTACCGCCGTTAAATAATATGCTTTGCGGGGTGTTGTTCAAAAAGCATACTAATTTATAGCTTTTGCCAAAATATTACGGAGGTTTTGTCCGTTATATAAAATAGCATTATTTAATTATATGCCCAATTATAATTGTGATATTAATAACAAACGCGCGCTTGATAATCTAAATGATATATCACCGCTTTGTGATTCGCGTATTGTATAAACTTGAACAAACTTAACATAGCACTCGCGGATCCTCAGCCGCCTTATGTTGTCAGGGCCAATCTACTAACGTTTGTTATCTTCTTTATTTTAAATATTATATATTTCCCGTTATACAGTATGTTACGATATTAATATGCATATTCATATAGCAACAATAAAATAACCAATAACAAATATAACACTGCCAACTGTTTGAATATTAAGGGATAAACGCGAGATTATCTATAAATGTTTTGCATGTAACCTTGTATAAAATAATATACAAATAAGATTATTGAATGAGGCTATGCTTATCTTGGAGCGTGTAGAGTTTGCATGCTTAATAGGGGAAACAGGAGTGCGGCTGCAACAAAGAAAAAAAATTTTTTTCAAGGGGCTGTAAAATTTTAGCCACACGACTATTAAACCAATATGAGAATTAATTTGGCAATGTCATGTAGTATGAATACAACAGTTACCGAATATTCACTGACTACATCTCTAAAACTTTGTATTTTCTCGTATAAATAACAATTTATTAAAGAAGAGGATATGCTTGCTGTATGCTCAAATTAGTTATAGAAATAGGTGCTACTGTGACAATTGGAAAATTTTTCAAAGAATATGTAATGATTCAGCCACAGAACAGTAACACGCGCAATGTGTGCTATTAAATTTTTTCTTTTACAAAGGTTTTTGGACTTTGTACGACAATTTTACTCGCTTTGTTGCTCTGATAATAACCCGAGTCTTTAAGAACAAAGGAATAAATAACTTTAGAAAAGCATAAAGTTTTGGCTATTAAATTTGATAAGAATTATCTTGAAGATATATAATTTTTTACTTTTTAACAAGTTTTTTATTTACTACAACCAAACCATACAACCGTGTCATAATATGATGTAAGTCAAGGGTAAATATATTTTTATGTATCTATCTCTAAATATATACCAATACCCCCAAAAATGACGTACTTTGCATATCAACATTTATGTAATTGCTTCTTTTCTTTTCTTTTCTTTTTGAATCAAGGCAACGTATCCATGATTATACATAATTACGGATATGTGTTTACAAAGCCATTCATGCTTTCTAGAATAGTCATTTAAAGGTACTAAGATTGATTTTCGATAACGTAAATTTTTATTTTTAATCTGCATTTATATGCCAAGTTAACTTCAACACTATCTACCTAAGTAATACGACACGCTTAGTGAAAGAAGAGAATAGTGTGTTAAAAATAACCGTAGGATTTAGGGTGAGTGAAGATAAGGCTTCGGATATCGATCTCGTGCAATGGGATGGATATAAATACGTCGTATAACATTATACTATCGACTCTTTGTGCAAATGGCGTACTTAACAATATACTTTTGGCAATAATTGCATGGTATCATTGCATTACTATTCTAATGAAATAGGTACCACAATAAATTGAAGGGATTTTTTTCTTTTTTGGAAATTAATATGCCCATAATGAGGTTCATTCGAACGACACACATTATTGTTTTGGAGGGCAAAAATGCCACAATTATCTATTACCAAATAAATAATCAGGTGGTTATTCGAATCTTCTATCTAAAAAGCTTTTAATATTTACTCTGGCTACAGTAATCTGCTCACCGCATACTCGCACAAACATTACAACAAAACAACGTTGTGACATACGTTTATAAGAGATGTTTTTTGAAGGTAATTAACATTTGAATGACAGTAAGGAAAGTCAATCTACCACTCTTAAAAGTGTAATGTTCTGAAAGGAGGTTTTGCTTTAGTTCAAGTGGTTTGTGGGGATGATGTTCTCTGAGGTTGTCAGAGTATGAAAATGGCAAATGAAGTCTCTGTTGCAGCGATGAGGTCTAAAGCTGATAATAAACTTTGTCGAATCGAGATTATGTACCTGTTTAAAACTAATATTTCACTATTGTTTGAAAAGACTGGTATAATAACATGCGGCACTTAACTTGTATAGGTATAGCGTATTCGACATTGTATTGCATCTGTGGCGCAGAACAGCGATCGAAATACCTATATCAACGCTTTTTTGACAAAACTAGACATGAGTGATCTTTGTTGAAATAGCAAGCCAGCTCAGCTCTGCTTCATGAATAATTGTTGGGTGCGCTCAGTTTTGACGCACTCCGGCGTACTATACATTATTCCAATACTAAAAAGACGAAAAGAGATATCACTAATTCACAACTTTCTGTAATATTAAGAGGTTAGCGGACAAGCGAGCTTCTTTATAGCTATCATCAGTAATAGAACCGTAGTTATCAGGTGAGAAGGAGAATCGTACAAACTAAAGGATGCCGGACCAGCCCATAATTGTTATATAAAACGCATATTTGCAGTCGTGAAGGAAAATATTGCAACTGTTAACTGCGCTATGAGTATGACTATAAAAAACTGATTTCTGTCTTTCTTTGACAGACAAATGCACATTCAATATCGTTATTGCGCTAGTGAAAAGATAAAAATATCGGGATATGCGTATTAGACGATAACTGACTTACGAGTCAATAAAAAAGTAAGTGACATAAATCTAATTCGATTTTCTTTAGTAACGTTATTATAAAAAATTGAATGTATTTATATTTAGAGATTAGTGACAGAGAATCAAGTCAATTCATTATGCTATGCAAGAAAGATGGTACAGTTGATGAAACGATGACAATGTTGTATATGACAAATTACCCCTTAGCGGTATATTACACCTTCGTATGCAATTGGAATATTCTCTGCAATGGGATAGATTATTATATTATTTTATGTATTGGACTTCCTCCTTTGCGTATACAGTATATTCGGGAACTGAGAAATAGTATCAGGGACAGTGTGTTTGACGATCATAGGGCAATCTGCACTGTCGATCAATGCATAGTTGAGCCATTGTTTCTGGATGAAGTATGTCATAATTATTTACTTGCACTTATAAGACTCAAGCTATCACGATTCGATTTATTATATAATTACTGTAACAACGGCAAGGTTTCATCGTCTATCGTTTTTATGTTTGCTTAAGCCACAATTACACTATCTTACCGTCTCGCACAATTTAAAGCATGAATCATTTTGATAAAACTAGCGCAGAGAGATAACCAATTATTGCCCACCGAATAAGATCAGCCGAACCGCGAAATTATTAATCGATTTCAAGCTAATTTCTGAATTTGTCGCTGTTTTCAATTTTTTCAAACTATGATTACAAGTGAGTCTCGATATAGCGACACTGTTATATAATGACCCTCGTTATAATAACAGAAATCTTAGAACGAAAATTTTATATTGCAAGTTAATTCTAGATATAAGGACATCTCGATATAGTGACCAATTGGATTGGAACCGAGCGTGTTGTTATATCGAGACTCACTTGTACTGGATTTCATATCCGACTTTTCAGAAACAGCTGCTTGGTTTGAATTAGTGCTGTACAATCAATTTGAAGTTTGGAATTGAAATATTAATATGTCAGTTTTAAATATTAATCGAAATACCGCATATTGAAAAAGTCAAATAATAATATTGTATTTTCAAGATTAATGAATAGCAGACAAGTTGTTAAAAAGACTGGAGTTAAGCTTAGATCGGTTCCACGATATAAAACTGTATTAACATTTCTGCAAAATAGAAACTTTCTTTCACAATGATGTGTACCCTCTTTTTAACTGGAATGTTGCTTGTAAATGTGTTATAATGTCTTGACAAGCATTCTCCTAGTGAATTTGAGACAACCAAATTTACGTATCATACATAGAAAACATAGCTGCGGAGTATAAATAATCTCAACTTTCCCAAAAGTATAGTCACTCTGGTTATATCGGACTGGCATAAACAGACTTGGATCAATTTTGCTGTACATTAAATATAACGGCCAAATGACGACTCTGTTTACAAAAATTGCATTCGTTTTTTTGACTGGGCTTTATAGTCTATTTCTTTATAATATATAAAAATTATTATTATTGCAACTAATAATACTTACATTCATTCTATGAACAACAAATTTGTGTGAAAAAGGCTAAGAAGTTGTACGGCATGCAAGTGAAGAATTGCAAGAGTTTATCAACAGAAATACACATACGATGGATGATTTAAAAAGAATCTGGAAAGACACCATTGAATACATAAGTCAACACACTCCAACACCAATACCGGACGTCCCAACTGATGGTTATTATGAATCATTATTAGTAAAGAATAAACTTGAGTACGTATATGTAGGTTTTTAAACTTCTCAGTTAGTCAAATGTAAATTTTAATAAAACGCTTTCAATTTTTTCAGAGACACTGTCGCGCGCTTGAAAGCTAAGGCAAGACATGAAAATGCTCCGACAATGATAGCAGCTAAGCTAGATTTGGAGGATGCAATAAAGTCAGTAGAGGAATTGGAACGACTTCCACAAGTCAGTAATAGGTTTCTACCAGGTACCGCTGAATATCAGCAGATGTAATTAGAATGCTCTGAGAAGAACATAAGGATACAGCAGGGTTTGCTTTGGTATTTGGTTCGCTGTAGACATGCGGAACGAGAGAGATTGTATAAACGTATCGGTAGCTATTATATTTTCCGCTTGAATGGCTTTCAGTTATGTACCTTTTTCAACCCACATTTTTCGCTGGTTTTAATAGGTACAAAATTAGCAATGCGGATAAATGAACGTATAAAAAAAACCAATGAGAAGATTAAAGAAAATTCAATAATCTTGTGAAGGCTGTCCCCGGAACAAGATATAAAGAAATTCAGAATTGGGAGAGCATTTTGTCAGATAGACGACGAGTATTGGATCAGTTATCTCGATAGTATTGCGTTTCCAGCAATGGATGCTGATGTATGAAAAGCATTACGTAACCTAAACTCGTTGGACCGCGCGTTTGAAGAAATTGAAAGAGCCAAAATCGAAATGACAAGAATGAAAGAATATTTATCTCAGAGGTTAGACGCTATTAATAGTGCCATGGAGAATTTGAACGATGCAGATGGTGAAGATAAAGCGTTGATGAATGGTTGCCTAGTGTGGTTACGGAAAGAGAAGATGTAGTTTTGGAGATGACTGGAGACGTAAACAAGGTATTTGGTGAGTCAAACACGGATAATGTGGCAAGGGAAGACGAAATAGAAAACTATTTGTATGAAGGAGAGGTTAGTATAGACTTTAATGACATAGATGAGACTATGTACGAATATGGTGAAAACGAACATAAACATAAATAAAGCTTCCTTAGTAAGGAATATGAAATTGAAACAAGCAAGACGAATTATCGTTATGTCTTATTAGTCCAATGCATCGTTGTACATTGTGCCACCTGTCTACCTAATACTAATACTTTGTGGTGCACCATATTGAATTTAGCTGGTGCACTAATACTAGCGGTCCGTCGTCCAAACTGATCGAATCATGTAACCAAAAATCGGATGACCAAAATCATATGATCCTCATCTGCTACAACCAATCACTATTCTACATTTTTATCACGTGACAAAACTTCGGTGCGATTATATAACGAGGGAATTTTACTATTTAAAAAACGGGGGAGCCAGAATTCCTTCGGTATAACGAGGTTCGACTGTAATCAGCCAGAAACTTTTTGTTTCACATATGCTCACAACCAATAAGCGACATGCGAGACATCTACATTGATAATCGAGTATTTATCGCCGCTTTTACCGTGATCTGCAAAGTTCGGATCTTTTTAATATTAAGAGAGTTGTCCAGAAATACATGTTTATTATTGGTCATAAATCAAAAAATCATACTTGTCTAATAATTAACCTAAATCACCGTGATGATAATCCGAATTGTTACGGGTAAAAGCGGTATATTAATATGACGGTGAAAGCGGCGGATAAATACTCGATTATAAATATTCGCACCCCCTTATTATGTTTAAGAACAAACACTGAAGACAAAAATACGTTTAGGCTATTGTCAAAACCCCACCAGATTTATTTTTACCTAGATCAACTATTGACAAAAGTGACTTCGAAATGATAGTTGAGAAATTTTTTGGGTACAATTTTTTAGACTTTTGGAATTTGGGTTTATAGAGAGTATATGTAGGTTCGGAGCTTGAAAGAGGACCCAAGAAGACACCAAATTTCGGTTTAATTCGTATCGGAATAGAATCAAGTAGCACACGCAGCTTTATAATCAACAGATGCTCTGTAAATCTGGCGATAAGATCTCGGAATAGTTTTTTATTAATGGGTGATTCAATTTTGAGTGAAGGATTAATTAATTCAAGACATAAGCACTTCATTATATGATTGTTTAAATTATGACGAGTATATTTATTAAATTCATATGACTTGTCTTATAGATGCATAATAACAATAACCGCAAGTTATTAATTTTAATACCAGTTAAGAGTTGCAGTTGTTAGGTTGGTTGAGGTTAACGCCGTTGCAAAGAATTTGGCATAATCTCCCAACTCCTCTGTAGTCTAAGAATTTATAGTTGTATTAACATTAAATGCTGTTCTAATAACGCAAACTTGTTTGTCTTAAACTTACCATTTGTGCGAGCTCTTCTCTGCCAATACGATAATTTACTACAGTTTTACACTCATCTACAATATCGGCCGACTTTTCTAACATGACAGAAAGCTGTTCCTCTTTGTAGTCTGCACCTTCTTCTGCCATTCTTCGTTTTTTCGGATGCTCCACCACCATGATAGGGTTATTTCCTGTAAAATCTAACTCTTTAGGAACTGTTCTACGTTTTCGACCGCGCCGCAATCTTGAAAAAGACTTTAAACCTTTGTTGAGTATTTTGAAGACATATTGGACATGAACTCCGACAGATAGGTAATGCTTACCATAGTCGCTAACTCCTTCTTATCAATAGCATCCTTTGCAACAAATCCTATGTTGTTTTCATTGGGGTCTCCGGCGTGGACCAATTCTTTCGACAGATTTTCCAAATTATCTATGGAGTTTTCCAAACTGGTTGTTACAGGTAACATTTTTTCACCGACTTTTTCGGTTTTCCTTTCAGTCAACATGACTGTAATTTTATCCGTAAAGTCTAAATTTGCAAAAGTCTTTGACTTGCGTCCAGGTTTACGGTGCGTAATCAACGCTGACATAGTAAATTGGACTGCCGGTCGGACGTATTTATATACAGTTGACTCTCCCTAAATGCGCATCCCCTAAATGCATGCTCTCCCTAAGCCTGTGGTTAAGACCTCGGGACTTAGTACTTAAATGCACACTCTCTATAGCTCGACAAGTCAGTCTCGCATGATAGACCGACTTTTAAATATTAAAATGGCCGAGACTTAGGCCAAATTGAATAATCGAGAGACCGATTAATCGCGTGTTCTGCACTTGCAATGGATTTTAATAATCCCGGCTATACGAGAATAATTCTCTACAATACAAACTCGTTAAGTCGGTCACGCATGATGGACCGACTTTTAAATATTAAAAGGGCCGAGACTTAGCATTAGGCCGATTAATCGCGTGTTCTGCACTTGCAATGGTTTTAATAATCCCGGCTATATGAGAATAATTCTCTACATGCAAACTCGTTAAGTCGGTCATGCATGATGGACTGACTTATCAAGGAATTTAAATATTAATATTGAGAAAAAGGGCCGAGGCTTAAGCCAAATAATCAAGAGACCGATTAATCGCGTATTCTGCACTTATCATACGTTGTAATTGTCAATATTCGATTCAAACTTAAATGCACACTCTCTACACAGTACAAACTCGATAAGTCGGTCATGCATGGTAGACCGACTTATCAAGGGATTTAAATATTAATATTGAAAAAAGAGGCCGAGACTTTGAATAATAGAGAGACCGATTAATTGCGTGTTCTGCATTTGCAATGGATTTGTACCCTTTGTCTATGCTGGTTTCAAACAAAAGTTCAGGGTTGAAACATATTATAGACACTTAATTAGTCGGAGCTTTTTTTCTCCCCCCCAAAGTTTTTGAGGCTGTGTCGGAATTGCGTCTTTAAAACAACCCATTTATTAATATATAAAAAAAAAACACTTTAAGCTTTGGACAGTTTTACACTCCCCTGCCAAGTACAAATGCGACACAAGATTTACTAGTAAAACATATTATTATGAAATATCGAATTTTTTAAGTCGCCAGTTCTCCATATTATTTTAAACAAGTACCAGTAAACTTTATTATTCGTTATTTTAAGCTAAATGATTATAGTTTTAATTGAGATATACGCAATTTTAAAATATTAACGCTTGTCGTATGTACCCCGTCAAAAGTGTAGATACGATTTATGTCGATCATTAATATTAATTAAGCAAGTAAAGCTTTCGTTTCCTCCTCACACTGTAACAGTAATATCTTAAAATTGCTGATATTTCTCAAACAATTATTTAGTTTCAAAATGACATAAATTTTACTGGTACTTGTTTAAAATAATATGAAAAATTGGCGACTTAAAAAATTCGATATTTCATATGTTTTACTAGTAAAATCGTGTGTCGCATTTATACTTGGCAGGGTCGTGTAATCACGTGATAATTTAATTTCTGATTTGCATAATAACCGGGTTTTTAGCCTGCTTGCAGAGTACTGTATTTTAGTCAGCGCTCTACAGTAATTTGACAACAAAAATTAATGTGATTAAAAGCACAAGAGTTAATTTAATTTCGGACAAAACTCTTACATTTTACAAAAAAAAAATCTTTAAATTTTGCCTGGTCTTTAGGTCGCGTTCTAAACAATTATATTTTACTTCATGTTCAGAAATCTACAGTACATTTGAAACTAAATAATATTATATTAATTAATCCAAATAAGTCTATTAAATTTGTGCCAGGTGTTGGGATCTCAAGCAAATCTCTTTGTTAATTAATAGGATAAAATTATTAAATCTGTTAAATATACAAATCAAATTAACGATAAGTACTTAAGTAAATTTGCTGAGCTTTTTGTCCATTCAAAACCAATATAATGGTCAACGAAATGATTAGCATTATTGGATAAATGTGAATTAAAAAACTTATTGATTACTTTAATGTTGTTTAATTGTTAATACAGTATATATTTATTCTTCCAGTGAGTAGGCGGTTAAAATTTAGAATCTTTAAGCAACGCGATAAATATATTTTTCTACAACTAAATACACGTAAAACAGTTTATATTAAAAAGTCTCTATCATCACTGTCACATATCAATCCCGTTCAAACAAAACATCAACATGTTTGGATAATAAATTAGAATCCGGATCTAATCATATTCAAGGACCTATCATATTAAGAAACAATATCAAAGAAATAAATTGTTTTCTTTAAAGCTGACTGGTTCTCCCCCTTTTTTCATCACTAATTTATGAAACAGTTGTTATACGCAATTTAAGAAACACATAACCATACTTGTCTGAGAAAGAACCAATAAGTTGAATTATATAATTAAGGAGATTGTTTCTAAAATCTATTGATTTCTAACAATACTACTTCATTTTAAGCTGCATTTACAGAAGTAAAATATATTTATTTAAATGAATAAGACAAGAAAGTATTGTACAATAAGAAGCGTCGGTGATTATGCAATCAGCCGCAATGATTCGCAAATCTTCCCTTTTTTAGGGGTAGGCTAAAGCGGAATAGTTTTTTTACAATTTCATTGGTTGATATACAAATTTGACCAATGTAATTGCAAGAATCAAGTCACGTTCTACTCCGCTTTAGCCATCCTCCTTTTTTATCGCTAAAATAAAACCGGTTTTCTACCGGTAATATACGCTCCATTCAAATAAGGCATTTTTAAATATGTATGGATAAAATATTTCGCTAAATACCGCATCGTTTATATCATTGTATATAAATAGCCGACAAATCTTAGCTTACAAAAGACCATCACCACGCTTAGTCAACAAGTCAATTGCAGTCTCAGAAGAGCTGACAAAGAATTTAGTAAGCCAGTAAAAACCCAGAGTAAAATTCTCTCCTAAGTGGTTCATTGTGGTTTAAATCACCCAATTGTTTTACTATTTGAGGCTATTCAAAATCAAATTCGTCGAACGATAATTCGTGTCGCGGCTGATGCTGAAATATGGCTGAAGCTGAAACTAACCAATGGGGTTAGAGAATAGAATCTGATCAACCAATGAAAGATTATTGTTTCAGCTTCAGCCGGGATTTCAGCATCAGCTCCCACAATAAATATTGATTTGAGTGATTGCAAATATTTGGTCAAATAATAGCGAATGATTATCAACGCAATTCTTTATAGGTTGTGATAACGCGAATATCTAAGATCTGATATTCTCATTGCAAACTTACATCACCTGATATTAATGAGATCTTAGATCAGTTTAATGACAGATCGGTCTAGTACATATGGAAAAATTAAAGGAAAAATCTATCATAGAGGATAGACAATAATGTTGTCAAATTATGCTCACATATTCTTTCGTTATAATCGTAATTTTAATACTACTATGGGTATATCTAATTAGCATTATAATACAACAACATACCTTCCATCGACATCGATAATCGAAGATAATAATAAGATAATCGATCTTTTTAGATAGCGAATAAAAGTACATCAAATGTTACACAGCCAACCCCGAACGAAGGACCCCCGCTAAACCGAAGATAACCTCTATTAAATTTACCCCGATAAACCGAATTTACTAGTTAAACCGGATTTCTTAGCATTTCCTACCTATGTTCCCGACCCACTTCGGTTTAACGGGGGTTCACTATGTATTAGCTTTCTTGTAACTTTCGAACGTTTGCTTAGGTGAGTAGTTTCTTATATATAACCTTTACTTAGGTAGAAACATGCTTGCATTCAGTAACTGTTAACTTTTGGTACATGCCATATGAGAGACATGACTTAATTACTCATTGGTTGATGAGAGCGAGCGTATTGGTATATACAGTATAGTGTGACCACACTCTAATATTAGTATTGCAGTTGGAAACATAAAGTGAAAGATTTTGTCTGCAAACAGTTCATACACACAAACTTTTCCCATTAGTAGTTACTGTCTATTATCGAGTCGACCACGCCTTTGCCTGCTGTAATGTCAACTATGTAAATAACTGGGTGTATGTAACTAGGGTCAAGTTTATATAAAAGTTTGCTAATATTCTATGTCGATGTGAGACGTCGCCAAATGACAATTGATAGTTGTGAAGTAACGTAGGCTAAAAGGTTTAGCAAGTTCAATTATTGCAGGGGGTAAGCCCGCTTAGAGAGAAATGAGTCATAGTCAGGTGAAAGCTGCAGATTTGGCGTCTACGCCACATTAATTACACAACAGCGGAGAGGTTGACGGGTTTCACCCAGCCCATTAGTAATAGTAACAGTGGTTCATTTCACCGACATAAATTTCATCATAAACAATGTGTCACGTAAAATGTAAATGATTGTCGGTGAAATGAATGCCTCCCGTACAATAATATCGTCATTATTTGACGACTGATCTATGAAAATGGTGCATTCGCAAAAACAGGTGATCGTCAGAAAATCGTCTTCAAATAAATTGGGCCTTTTTTTAATACCCCAAATTTAAACGACCAATAATTTCTGGCGGTCTGGGACAAGTTATATATCGTTATAAAAACCATCGGCAAACCTTTCTTACTTCGTTATATAGATATGTCCGCCTTATGACTCGTAAGTCCGGACAGGGAAAAGAACCGTAGCATTGCTTATTACTATTGATCGGCAAGGATTTGGGGTACATTTGATGTCAGGAAAAAGGCACAGGTAGGTAGCATACCCGAGTATATATCCCACACGAAAACCAAATTTGAACCCCAAATCATCAACTACCCATTTTCATAGATCAGTCGTCTAATTTAAAACCCTAATCCTACATCTCTGCCGAGAAAACACGCGCGCACACACCCACGAAAGGGCCGGCGTTTTTTTTCTCGACTTCTTCGTGTTCTAGTTCTCTTAAGTAGGATTGTTTATACCTTTCAATCTCACTCATGGTAATTCTATTGTCAACAAAAGCATGCTTGCGAAGAAGATTAATGAACTTGGTTGCGAAGTAATCTCTAACCGTTCCCATCACAATAGTTGTGTATTTGCTCAGCTGTATATATGTCAATTTTGCAGTAAGAAACCATTTTTCTAACAATGTCGGATACGATCAAATTGTGCTAACAATTGCCTTAAGTCATGTAATTTTACTCGTATTATTCTTAGAAGCAGCTTACAGCATTTGAGCCTGGAAATGCGAGCAGCAAGTGAGAGCGACATCAGTATTTGCATAAAGCAAACTTGTTTTAACAATAATCTACTGGCTGTCGAGGGCTTGCGGATCTTTGAATAGCAGGATGAAATTCTGAGCTAGTCTTTAGATAGCTCAGTTGTCAGTATAAAGCTAAAAGATACAAATACTGATGTCAATAATAATCGTAAATGATTAACGTCTTAAATATCTCCATTATTTACCATATGATAATATCACGCTAGGGACAAACGTCATCATGCAGATAACGAAGATGAGCGATTATGTAATAATGGCTTTTTGTTTGAAAAGAAAAGGATAACCATATCATGGCGAGTGATCTACTGCTATATACACTGCCTCAGTATTTTAAAGTATTTGCAATGTGCGCAGTTTCCCCGAATATTTATTTCTTTTGATTTACGCCATGTTCTATAACAAACACGGGATTGTTCCGTGCTGCGCCCGCTAACTAAAATATATATATATATAGGATTGATTGCTTGCCACAAATTTTACCAGAAAAAAATGGCGCAAACCAAAAAGTCTGCCGGAAATGCAAAACCTTCACAGATTAAACCTCGTCAACCGAAAGGATTAGACTTTAGTGGTAATCATCACGTTATGAAAATCAGACGTCTAAGATCGGTTCAGGTTCCAAGAAAGCAGAAAAAAGTATGTAATAAATGTTTGCGCACGGAAAAAAAAATTGAAGTTATAGACAACAAATTGAAAAGTATCGACAAGTTAATTAACACGGAAACCGTCCAACAGAAAGAAGCAAATAACAAGTTTTCTGATTGGGTAAGTTGTTTGAATAATTAAAATTTTGCTATAAAAGACGAATAATGAAATAAGTAGGAAACCAATTGCGTAAGAGTACTTGGTAATGGATAAATATAGGAGTATATAATCTAATATTAATTTTAAAACTTTATTCTACATACACAGTCAACTGATAAGCTGGTCGACTTTTCGGGTCATGTGGCTGCACTATGCGCGAGAAGCTCTGAATCATAGTTGCTATACAGTTGTATTAGGAATTCGGTATTCATATAAAACGTCATAGGACATTCATAGCCATTTATTTTGTAATTGGCATTTTATAAATTACGAATACACATTCTGGTTAACAATACAGCGCCAATATTTTTCGATTACGCTAAACATGTTACTATTTTCATTGATAGTATAATGAAAGTTTGTATTTTTATTAAGATTCGTGAATAACAGATGGCGTTATTCGATTATTTCCTTATTAGTATATATGGCTTTAATAGATGTCTTACAATTACGTATCATTGCCTAGTTTGATTAACACATAGTTTGTGGATAAACAATAAATCAAATGATTGTGGCGTATCTATTAATAATACGCCGCAGCAGAATTTATGAACAAAATAGTAAATTTCGAGAACCATCTAACTAGCCATTCGTTAATTAGTAAGCGGTTTGAGTTTCAAAAATAATTTCCATCTAGCCATTCGTTAATTAGTAAGCGGTTTAAGCTTTAAAAATAATTTCCATCAGCCAGCAATGGCCTCCTCTGGACAAGTATCTCGCTTCTTTTTGTCCAGAACCGGAGACTTACATGGGCCGTACAAGCACAGGCGATTAATATGTGCTACTGACAAACGGCCTCGCATATTTAATTAAAATTTCCTATAAAGATCTTACAAACAACGGTAATACAACAAACAGTCAATATAATTACCTTTTCCAAATTATTGCTAGCGTTCTTTCAGCGTTTCTTTCAATTGTTCAGGAAATTCAATTACTTTCAATGTACACCCTCATTACATCACCATAAGCTATGGATAGCGCTAATTGAAGTAAAATATACTGATGTCACCTCAACACGTAAGCGGAAATATATTCCGTTTACTTTACTTTGACTTTTCTAGCCCAAAATCCCAATTTGTTCGGGTATTCCGATTTGCTATTGCGGTAGCCTTTGCACTATTCTGGGTTTCAAGCGCTGGCGTAGTCCAGCCACTGTGTTTCACCTTGATAATATCCGCTAGCAATGCAATTGTTGCTAAACTTTTGTTGTAATTATGTATATTAATTTATCTGTCGGATGCCTCTATACTACGTTTATTATATTTGTTCTCGTAACGGTTTTGGTAATATATCTTTCATATTATTCACTAATTATTGATTCCGTATCTGTACGGTCTCTTGGTTATGCAAACTTACAGAGACTGATAATTAACACACAGCAAATTCATTTATCGCACAAAAAGTTGATAAAAACCATCATCAAATCCACAACTGCATAAAAAGTTTTAAATTCACCAGACACAACTTTACCGTCAACACGAATGATTACACAATATACTTCAGAACCTGAAGTCTGTATATTTGTTGAACGATAAAAATTTTTATTTTTTTTTTGGAAAAACATGAATGTAGCAATATACTCATAGACATAAAGAATATTTATTCCTGAAGTTGTTCTGACAGATGCTAAAAATAAGCTGACGTGATAATTTTTGATATATGACCAAATACGCAAATAATGACCAAAAGGCCAAACAATTTACGCTCAATGGAACTCTAGCCCTTATCAAACTTTGATAAACTTCACGCTGTTAATAAGCCAAGACGTTTAAATTTTTTGTGACATACGTAATAATAATACAGTATTTACATGATTACCGGATTAGCAAGGCTTTATCAAAATTTAATGATTGTCTACTCCACCCACTCGCCCACCTAACACCTAAGCAACAAACTCACTCATACTATAAGAACCATATTACTATGTCTACTCTACCCTATGTACATACTACTCGCGAATACGACGTGTTTCTTGTATATCGATATAGGATGAGATAACACTTATTGAGTCAATGTTATTATTATTATTTGTATAGAGTAAAACGTACATACAAATATTTGGTTATATCAAGTATTTACGGATAGATTATATTATAAATAACATTTGTATTTGCTACAAGATTTATGATAATACTTCTACGAATGATGCTTAATTCTTAATAAACATGACAATACTAGTGCCGTTAACAAAGGAGTGACAGCGGTAGCATGTACATGAATTACACAAACAGACGATTTGTCCTTCAGAATCTACTACGGCTTATAAGAAGAACGCAACGTGTAAAGGTTCTTGCTGCGGTGGGTAAAATTGTTAAGCAAAGTGTCAAGTGATTGTTGTTTACACAATAAAGGCAGTTACGAATTTTAAATAACGCAAAACTACGGCTTATAAGAAGAACGCAGGTTCTTGCTGCGGTGGGTAAAATATTAAGCAAAGTGTCAAGTGATTGCTGTTTACACAATAAAGGTAACGAGGAACGCAGTTATTCTATGATTCTTGAAAGACTTCCGATTATAATCCCACAGCGAACATATTCCTTTTTCAGATTATATTATCGCTGTCATTACGATTAGGTCCTATGACGTCATTGTGCTGTACATGATGACATAATAATAAAAATTAATCTCAAATAAGAGTGCAAATCACAAATGAAGTAATGTACTAGTTGAACGGAGTTTGGTTAGTTTAATGGTTGAGATATTAATATGGGTGTCGCTAAGGTTTTATGGTTGAATGTTAATAGAAACTGCTCAAACCGTACAGAATAGAACGTACTGGCGGGAAAGCTTACGCTGAAGATTAGAAAATCCCCATCGGTAGCAAAATATACAAATCAAAAATAGTTTTAACGAAAAATTCAAAGTATTATAGTACTGCACATTCTTAACAATGTGTCTTCCACCGGTGATTAAACAATTAGCCTTACTATAGATCATTATCGTTAAGAATAAAAACATCTTCTTTTCTTTTTTCCCATACAGGAAGCAAACCGTCGACTTGGATATTTCTTGGTTGCAGCAATAATTCTTCCTGATCTGTCGTCGTTGGGGGAGAGTTTGTCAACATTGTTTATAAACAAACAATACGATGGTGAGCTTAGCTTTAATTCTTCTATTATTCGCACTATTTTTTTTTTTAAAAAAAAACAACAAACAATTTAGTCGTGCGATTAATCTTTGAGGTATGTGATTACTTTTGGTCGTTTGATTACGTACCGAACATGGGTGACAAAAGTTATATTAGCCCGGTCCGCCTTGATAGAACTATAATTTCTTTGTTATTGGCAAAATTTTTTCGGTATAAATTGATTATACCGGTACTTGTCTTCGACCTAATTCTACTACTGCTGCTACGATGTTTTTAATTTAGACTGTTGGCAGACCAATCAGCAACGAAATCCTTGAAACGCGAGGTTCGGTTTTCCCCCCCTTTCTCTTGTCATAGTCTTATGCAATGTCCCAGGAAAAACTGTAGGTTTAGTTGTTTTTGAGCTCATGTTGTGTGCATTTCGAACACCGTCGCTAACATTGAACTAACCATCTGAGACCGATACAAATGCGACATTATTATAATGTTACCTTTGAAGCGGATAGTCGTAAGTGTGATACTAGTACAAATGTTTAAAATTGTTGGTTATTCACCCACAAACATACTAGCAAATAATCAATTTTATAGCTTAAACTCTATGGCATGTCTTTTAATTTTATCGTTTGTTCAAGTACGCAAATATTTTAACGCAGAATGGGGCTCATCAATAAATTATTGATATGAATATCATGGCCGTTTTTTTTATAAGGGAGGAAACCCAAATTTGAAAAACAAGAAAGAAAAAATTTTTAAATTAGACATTATAAAATTTCTCTATATAATAGATTCGTGCTTGCTACACCGTATTAACCACGGAATAGCCGATGCGGGCATTACCGTACGTAGTTATCCCATACATAGATTAAATCTACGGAAAGCCTCACGGCCGCCGCCTTTTCAGTCGTAGCATTTAAATAACTTCTCGGCTGGTTTCTCCGGTAAAAATTTTGTCGTTACTGATAGAGTCATTCAATAATTTGAGAAGATACTAATCAAATATCAAGATCAGAATCGGAGAGGCTAGATGACGCTTGTTAGTTACAACTTAAATATTATATATACATTCTATATTTCGTACCTAATGTTGCTAGTTGCTAAAGTCAAGTGTATAATGGTTATTTTACTTACCATAATGCTTTACATATATTAACCTTTTTCGAAAGGGCTACCACACGTTTTAGTGTCGCTAACTGATCGAATTTTGCTGTCCAGTATGGTAAATCCATAATATTACAGTTCGAGAGGCTTTATGAAATGAGACTTGCACAGAGAACATCAGTAATAAGAAGCTTCCCCAAAAAGCTATTTGTAAATTTATAAGGTTTAGATTTTGTCAATCAACCTTAAGCAAACGATTTAAACAAAATCGACTAGCTGGACATGACTGTCCGACTTATTGAGAAAATTTTTAATATGAAAAAATAAAAGAGAAGGGCAGAGAGATTTTGTCTGACTTATCGAGTTTACCTATTTGTTATACTAATATTTTTTGCCAGTATTGATACGCTTTGGATATGCAGGGTCTTTCCCCCTGCAGTAAACTTAAAGCTAAAGGGATTCTCAACTTAGTTCTCATTAAATATTACCTACATTATTAGCAACCATGATTATGGTGAATGATTAATGACAATTATTATGTCACAATTCGTAACTAATTCATCAATCCAGCCATCAGTTCAATCGGCATCAATATTGTTTAATATAACCAATAAAGTATTGGATTGAATAGCGCTTATTTATTATTTTATCAGAACAAAAAGTATTTGAAATTAGAATATATTATTAGTCATGATAAATAAAACGCATTATCATTTACCCATATAGAACTGCACCATGCTATATGTGTATGCAAATTAGCCTTTTCTGCGCGTCAAAAACCAATAAAAAGAACCCACCTTCTTTATTCTATTCTATATAGCATCTAAATATCGGCGTAATAAGGTTAGAACGCTTATTTACACAATATTTTTTTTTTGTCACAATCAGGCGTTTGTTCTTTATAGAACAACTTGCATCTCATTTACTTGTGATTTGTGACTGCGTTGTCGTTGCCGAACATACGTGAAAAAAAATAAAAAAGTATTATTAT